CTTTTCAAGCTTCATTGTCTTCAATTCATTAACTTTGTCTTCAGATTTTGTAGGGATTGGGGACGGCCGTCTTCGTTGGATAAGATTTAGAATGGGTAAATCAACTGAGAAAGCACGTTCGCGTTTGATCACTGATACGGAGGTATTCTCTTCTTTGACTTTGATATCTGGTGATTTGACTTTGATATTCTTTGGTTCCGACAGTTGTTCGATGGGGTGATTGGACTCATCATAGGTAACAAGACAAATGTGAATAATTGTAGTTGTTGAGGTTGATGAGTGCACTTTCTTAAATGAACTCAATAACTTTTCCAAATCCAACATCCAAACATCAGGAGTGAGCATAACTGCACCATCCTTTCCTGTAACTGAGGCAGAAATGAATACATCAACTGGAGAAACAACTGTAAGAATATTCTTCCAGGCTGTATCAAGTCTGGCAGTGATGATTTCTAGAAAATCCTCCATTGTGAAAAACACACAATCTGAGTAGATTTCATTTTGAATTTTTCGAATTGACTCCCAGTTATAGTGTGTTTGTAGTTTGGCATCATTGTATTCACACTTCCAAATATGAATAAGAATTTTGTAGGATTTTTGCAAGGAGGATAGTTGATTCAGCTCAGGTTTGATCGCAGGTTCTTTTATAGGTGATGTACGTTGAACTGGTGTACCAGCATTGGGGGTCATTTGTTGAACTTTTTGTGTTTTTTGAATGGCCAGTTGACGTGCTCGTTGAGGAGGTCCAGGATCAAGAATTGTGGCAGAGAGTGACGGTGTCAGAGCTGGAGGACTGGGACTATCTTCAATGACAATGATTTCATCATTTATTGAAGAGATGATGGAGGATTTTGGTGTGGATGGATTGGCTTTGCCACAATAAGGACAGGCAGCTTCACTATTACAGTGTGCTTCATGAGAAAATCCAGGACGATTGGGGCAGAATGGTGTCCACATAGTGAAGTAAATCAAGATGATAATAAACAACAAAGAGAAGAACAGGAAAATTTGAGTGTGTGTATATATATATCTGTTTTTGAGGGTAAGAGAGTGAGAGATTGTGTGTGTGTGTGTGTGTGTGGATTTCGGTAACCTGATTAGTATAATGATTAGTATAATAGCTAACTGCTTTGGGAGTGTTAGACATGATGAGTAATATTATAAAATATCTTGAAA